TGTTGACCAGTACCTGGATGGCATAATCCCCCTTTGTGTTGGGTTACAGAGATCCCCTTGAGACTGTCATCTGATGGGCTGATCATACCACTGAGTCTGCCCACTTGCCCTCTGGGGCACCCTACCAACCTGTCCTCCTGAGCTAGAACTTCTGGTCTCCCCAGCAAGAGCACAGAGTTGGGGTTATAACCCACTGCAGAGCAATACAGACTGGGAGCTGCTCAGCTCTGGGAAGGCTTAATCACAGGGACTTGACACAGCAGCCACTTGCATGGGATCAAGCCCCCAGATAAATCCCTCTACCCTGAATAAATTTTTTACACAGAACAAGCTCATATGATGTTTGCTCCCTTTATCAATGAAAGAGAGAGATGCACAGATGTTGTTCTCCCAGGTAATAATTACTAATACTGGGTTTAATAATGAACAACAATAATTTTAAGTATAAAAAGTAGGGTTTAAGTGATTGCAAATGATAAATTTAAACAAAACACACGAGCTAAGCTTAATAGTCTAAGAAACATATTACATGCCATTTCTTAACTTAATAGTTGTTTAAATAATCTTTCTCACAAGCAGGGGAGCCTCCTAGGTCTTCCCCATGTTCAGTCTTTGTTATTTCCAATTGTCATCTTGGTGATAAGCAGAGAATGTCTTGATGTTTTGCAATTGCCAACTCCCCTATTGTCTGGTTCCCTGCCTATAAATAGATTTTGCCTAAGGTGGGAATCTTTTGTGTTCAGCTTCAACTCCTTTTACATCATCATGGCAAAGTACAACATTCAAAATAGGTTCCAGCATCAGGTGACCTAGCCATATGTTTTAGCAGGACCAACCCTAGTCCAGGCTTATAGGAAGCATAAGACTATGAACAGACCATTGTCTTGAGCATCAGGCCGTTAAGGTACCATTAATGACTATCACTGGGTTTATACTTCATATTTCTTACTTCAAATACAGGAATGATACATGCACACAAATTAGAATATATACATCCAAGAGATTACAAGCTCTCCAATAATAGGTTATATGCCCCATTTTGCATGAAGCACATTTGTTATCCATATTTGTAGTAAAAAACGTATTTCCATAAAAGTATGGATGTGCAACATCAAGAGCAAGTGTCAGGAGGGCATGAACTTATTGTTCCCTGAGGAGTACCCAGGGGGGTTTCTGAAATCCTGAACGAGTAATGGTGTGATCTATTGTAGTTGTTAGCTTTGATTTCTCCTTCCGTTTAGTCGACTGGCAAAGCACCCATTGTCTACAGTAGTGAAGGATCAAACGCCGCATTGCCAGTAACTTCCAGTGGCTTCTCCTATCTATCCTTTCAAGAGGGGAGAAGAAATAGGCAACTTTGCCAGGTGAACAGCTCTGCTCCAGACCAGACAGGGGGTCACAGAGATCCTACACAGGGTTTTCAGTGGATGGGAGGGTTGCGATGATGGTGGTGGCACTCCATTTGTGTATCCTCTGTCCAGTGGTACTCTGCATGTGGCACCAGCCCCTGGGGACCTTTGCTTATTTATCATCTTAAATTTACATATAGGTTCTAGCCAGCTAAACAGCCTATTCTGAACAGGGGTATTGTCCTTTGGTAGTGGTTGTGTAACTTGTCCCCTCCCCTGAGATGGAGTCACTTACTACATCCAGTTTATCATTTAGCTTCCTTGGCTGATAAGCAGGAAAAGTTGAGAGGGTCTGGTTGACAGCTGAAGACACAGCTTCCTTAGCGGAGTTTCCTTTCAGAGCTCAGCCAAGAAGAGGACTAAACCAGAGAAGTGAGTTTGGATTAGGATAGGCAGGATTCTTATACCCTTATATTTTTTTCCTAGCCTAAAAACAATCTAGGAAAGTATGACATGAAATCAAAACATTCCAAGTTGAAGGGCAGCCTACAATTGGCTAAATTTAAAGAGAAACCCTCACACACCTATGCCACTGTTGATTGAGGAGTTCCAGATGCTGCATTCTGTTGGGTTACCAGGTGTCCGTTTTTGAACCCGACAGTCCAGTAATTGAGCTTTCTGTTTGGGAAACAAATTGAGAAAATAGAAATGAGAAAATATAAATGTTCAGATGTAATGTAGATTGTGATGTAATGTCAGGTGTGTCCAATATGTTTGTTGAAACCGTCTGGCAACCCTGCTTTCTATTAAGCTGGGAATGGAGAGTCCCTACGCGTCTCTCCTACTTATTGAGCTATGTACAGTGGACACTTAAGAGTATAGTAATGCTCAGTGCCAAAAGTGAAGAGAGGTCTAGACTCAAGCGACGGCATGGTACATTGGGAGTGGAGGCACTTTCGTCAACTTCCTCGTTCCTGCTCTGCAGCACTGTGCTGTGGAGTTTTTTTTGGCTTAACATAGGAGACTGCACATTTCCTTGGACAGTAGTTTAACCTACTGTGTAGCCTTGAGAAGCTTGGAGGGTTGTGGATGGATTTTTAGCTGGTTAAAGCACTGTGTGCGTGTGCATACTGCGTGTAACAATCACAGCCATTATCAATATTTCAAAAGGTTTCTAGTGAGATTGAGGACAAAAGAGTGTTTCCTTCACAATTTGACCTACTTGTTGACAAATAGCCTTGGCAGAAATGAAATAATACTGGCACGTTTTCACATTCAATGTTCAAGGACCACCAAAGATGACAGATTATACATAAGAGGTGCACGCATACACATGCATACTCCTATTTGGATTTTACAGTTTAATGAAAGATTTATCCTAGCAGTTTTTTAAAAAAAGGAATAGCCACTATTGGGTTGCTGCTTTTCCATATGTAACAGCTATTCTAAATAAACAACATGCCTGTTGCAGACCAGTGATGCTTGGCCCTTCACTGGGCATTCATTGAAATGGATACAAGGAGCATTCCCTCCCCAGTGTTTGCTCTGCCTAATGGTTAGGCACTGGTGTACCATCCTTGCACTGAGGGGAGTACAAAGACTACGCTGCCGCCTTGGAGGCACATGGTTCCCACCACTAATATTGTCTTATAGAGTGGGAATGACAGGGGATAAATTCCTCCCAAAGAGGGCATGAAAGGCAGGTTTGGGGACTTCAAGAATTCTGCTACTCTACAATAGAATGCTCCCTTGGGGCAGAACTGCTCGCTGCCCCTCGCTCTGTTCTGTGCATTGCAAGGACCATTTAGTCCCATGGGAGCATGATGTTGCTGTATATTTTAGACTGAAGTTTGGTTTGTGTGGGCTTTTTTCTTTTCTTCTTATTTTGTGATGGTGGGAATGGGGGTTGGATAACTATTTGTACCACAAGCAAAGCTCAGGGCTGACGTATGTCACTGGGGAGAAAAAAGCCCTTACTCAAGAGTTCTTTATCATTCACATGAATTGAAGTCCTGTCAAAATATAGCTGCTTAAAGCTTTACTTGAGAGTCACGGGTGAGGTTATGCCAAAGTTGTATTTTTCCCAAACTCCTTTAGCTCAGTGATTACCTCCAAAGTGTTCCTATGGGAACAAAAATGGAACACACAAGTAAGACTCCTTCCCTATTAAAGTTATATTGGCTGTCAAAATGCAGCTTATGGCAGATAAAGTTCTATCAGTTGTAAGTTGTGCATGTAGAAAGTATTTATAAAAAACATATGTTGTCTGGGCTTCACAGGCACGCCAATTCTCAGCTGATTCAGGAAAAACTGAGGTGTTTACACAGTAATAAGTCAAGGGCATTGCTCTGGAGCCATATAAGCCCTGGGGAACTGCAGTCTGACTCTTAGTAAAGGTAGATATGGGGATTGTTGCTCCTTAATGTGTGGTTTAGTCTACATTCCTAGTACTCAAACTGATTTTATTGGGTGTCATTTCATTTGTCTTTTTAAAATTTCCTTGGCATTTTAATATCAACTCTTTCTTGTTTGTAGTGTCTAGAACAGCCTTTCTCATCCTTTTTGATACCAGGGATTGGCTTGCTGCCTTCCTGAACTGTGTCTGGGAGGTCTCAGACCTGGTGCCAGTCCACAGACCAATCATTAAAACACTGATCTACGAGACCTAACAAAATGGACAAATCTGATTTGTTCTAATTAACTTGATTCTATTTTCAACTGCATGTAAAACAAATCTTGTTAACAACTGTTAAACAAGTTGGCAGTAAGTACAGTGAAGAAACAAGTTTATGAATATCTTGTGAAAAGAAATTATCTTCGCAATTAGTCACAGTTTCTTTTTGTGTCAGCCAGAGATAACGAGTATGCTTTTGTCTCATCAGGAGAGATCCTGAGAGGGTAGCAACTTGTGCCCTGTTAGTGCACATTTCTGGTGGCAGAGTAGTTCCTGTTGCATCTGGATTCCTGTTGTAGATCCTGATTTTAGCAAAGCACATAAATGCAGGCTTAAAGTTAAATACTACTACTTTGACTTCACTGATACTACTGGCATGATTTAAAGTGAAACATGAAATTTTGCTGAAGCATGGCATTAATTGGTCACAAGTGAAGATATCAGTTTTTCAAAAATTCAGTCTTAATGGATACTTAAGCATATAATAGAACTACCATATAGCTTGCCTTAGACTGCTATGGAAAGTGCTGGTGTTGTAAGGGCACAAGTATCACAGCTTTTATATTGAATTGCATGGTTTACCGGGAGAGGGTGAGGAGGGAGGGAGAAATATGTAAAGCACCTATCAATTAGATGCTTAGCACATGTCTGTGTTGTTGTTAGGCTATCACTTCTTGTGCTATTCAACCTCACCTTGTTAGTCTTTAAAGTGCTACATTGTCCTGCATTTTGCTTCAACTACCCCAGACTAACACGGCTACATTTCTATCACTTTTGGGGAAGGAGACTGCAGCAGGGCGTCATTTCCTTTTAGCAAGATGTAACGGTTGTTCTGAGCAGTTTTACCCTAATTATTTAACAGCCTAAACTCTAAATTATGTATTTAGTCTGATTTTCATGTGGGTTATTATTTTCTGCCATAGCAATGATTCCATGGCCTAATTATATGTATTACTTTCTATTTTGTCTTCTTACAGGCTAAATATATTGTTGGCTGGTATGAACCCATTCTATTTCCATGCAGTGAATGTCATTTTACACTGTCTAGTGACTCTTGTCTTGATGTATACTTGTGACAAAGCTGTATTCAAGGATGGTCGACTGGCTTTTGTCACAGCTCTCTTCTTTGCTGTGCATCCCATTCACAGTGAGGCTGTAAGTATATATGTAAAATTGGGATAGTAACTAAAAGAAACACATGTTTATACATGTTAAAAAAACCCTTTTAGTAATACAAAACACATTTGCTGTGAATCAGTGTGGTGCTTGCTTTAAGGTCAACAGTAAAAAAAACAAAAAAAACCCTATGGCTGTGTTCAAAATAATCAGTAACATACATTAAGAATAAACGTCTACACTGGCCCCTTTTCCGGAAGGGGCATGTTAATTTCAGCTATCGTAATAGGGAAATCCGCGGGGGATTTAAATATCCCCCGCGGCATTTAAATAAAAATGTCCGCCGCTTTTTTCCGGCTTTTAGAAAAGCCGGAAAAGAGCGTCTACACTGGCCCCGATCCTCCGGAAAAAGTGCCCTTTTCCGGAGGATCTTATTCCTACTTCAAAGATCCTCCGGAATAAGATCCTCCGGAAAAGGGCGCTTTTTCCGGAGGATCGGGGCCCGTGTAGGCGCTCTTTTCCGGCTTTTCTAAAAGCCGGAAAAAAGCAGCGGACATTTTTATTTAAATGCCGCGGGGGATATTTAAATCCCCCGCGGATTTCCCTATTACGATAGCTGAAATTAACATGCCCCTTCCGGAAAAGGGGCCAGTGTAGACGTAGCCGCTGTCTTTCCACTAAATACTATAAGTAGCTGTAAATCCAATTAACCAACAATACTAAAATAAGATAGTAGGAAAATGCTGATCAGGTCACAGTTCTGTACTGACCAGTTAATTTATTCACATAGCTCTTAATTAGTCTCTTTTTTTTAATTTTAGGAAAAAAACTTCATGGCAAAGCTTCAGTATATATAAGCTTATGTTGCTTTTCTGCTGACCACAGGAAAATGCAAGACATCAACATATACAAATAGCACATTTTAAAATGATCCACTATTGTGGGCAAAACCCACTTCCTCAGATGAGCTTGAGAGGAGAAAAAAGGGAGACACTGGACAAAGAACAAATGGACACAAATCAGATATCAGAAATGGTAACACACAAACCTGTAGGGGAACATTTTAACTTACCTGGGAACTCAATCATGGATTTAAAAGTAGCCATTCTTCTACAAAGGAATTTCACTAGCCACTACACAGAGAGAGAGTGCGGAATTGACCTTCATATGCAAATTTGACCCTGTTTTCCTTGGCCAGAACAAAGACATTAACTGGAAGGCCAACAATAAAACTGGCTTTCCTTACATTTACAGCCTCATTGATGTCAAAAGCTACTGAAGCTATGCCACTCAAGCTCATCTGAAGAAGTGGGTTATGCCCACGAAAGCTGATGATTAGATTTTTTTTATATATAAAAAGTGTGTGTGTGTGTGTGTATGTGTGTGTATATACAGCCAGGCCCCGAGTTACAAACGGTTGATTTACGATCATTCACATTTACGACCAAACCTCCCATTAAGCAGTTGTAAAGGCGGTCTCCCAGTTACGAACACGACCCGCGCTTACGAACAGCGCGGTTGCAATGTGACTCAATGGGGTCCGACTTATGAACATTTCAGGTTACGGCCAAGTGTTTGGTCCATAACCCATTTGTAACTTGGGGACCGGCTCTGTGTGTGTGTGTGTGTGTGTGTGTGGGTGTGTGTGTGTGTGTGTGTGTGTGAAGTACCACAATATTACTCGTTATTTTTAATGCTACATACTAACACGGTTACCCCTCTGCCACTCTTTTAATTCTCATGTAGATAAAATGAATAGGTGTTTCCTCCTGTCTGTCTAGTTAGAAATATTGTTGATATAGTATTTTTTTTATGAACTATTGTAAGCTAGTGAGAGTGAAATGACTGCCAGTGTTGAGAACTTTTGAGAGAGAGAGAGAGAGAGAGAGAGAGACAGAGACTTAATAATAAGAGCCATGAGCTTTACAGTTATCTCTTGTGCTGTCTTTGTGAGCTAATCATCCAGGCTCCTTTAGATAATGCTGCTTTATTATGTAAGTGAGGTTTTAGAGGAGGCAGGCTTTGAACTTACTGTTGTCTCCATCAGTATTTGGGGAGTTTTAAAGCAAATGTCAAAGCACTGAAGATAATTATGTAATCTTAAAACAGCAAAAGCTTCAAAAGGCCTTTAATTTCCTTTTGTGTGCAGTTTCTGAGTTGTTATGAACGGGAACGTTGAGATATTTTGAAATTTGAATAATTATAAAAATACTTGTCAATTAGAGTTTGAAAAACTCCCATCCATACCAAGTTGGCCATTGCAATTTATTTTCTGTCTGAATTGATTATCAACTAACATTTGGGTAGTAAGCTATTTTATTATGTAGAAGTGACTGTTAGTGATTGGGGAAGATTCTTATCTAAAAATCACTTCTCACAACATTAAAGAAAGTGATTAAACTACACAGTTTAATGAATCAGGCCTATATTTTTCTCTTTGATCCCCTATTTTAATTATTCCATAAAAATCCCAACCAGGGTTATTTTCTGAGCTATTTTTATCAATTCTTTTTAAAGAGAATTTAACTTTGCCTTAGTCAGTCGATTGTACATGGGTAATTTATATTTCCTAATCTGTATGAGAAAAACACCAACATTCCTACTTATTAGGTGCCAGAATGTTGGGAAGAAGAGAGACAGACAGAAAGGAGGGGGGAAAACTCATAAAACAGAGGCCATTTGTTTCAGTGACCCATATTGTCTCGAAAGTGGGTTTTTTTTCTTTTAGTGTAATTTTCATGTCTCTTTTTTCTGCTCTTAGGTAACAGGTATTGTGGGCAGAGCAGATGTCTTAGCCTGCCTACTGTTTCTGCTGGCTTTTCTCTCCTATACTAGGTATGGATCTTTAATAATAAATGTCATGAGACCTGAATTTTGTGTGGGGGAGGAATTCATATAAAATCCTAATTGTATTTTATTTAAAATTGACAAAGCAAGTCCTCTCAACTCATGCGATTTTTAATCCACTCTGTGTGGCCCTATGCTCATGGAGAATATTTTAATGTTTTAAAAATTATGGAAATGACTTTGAAAAATTAATGAGGAAACTAATAAATAAGAAAACAACTTGAACTAAAATCTCTATGTCAAATCTGTTTTGCAGGAGTGTGGATCAGTTTTATGTTGGGGAACATTTCCCTCCCACTGCCTCTCCATTCTTCTTGCTGCTTAGTTTATTTCTTGGGACCTGTGCAATGCTGGTGAAAGAAACTGGTGTCACTGTGTTTGGTGTGTGCTTAATTTATGACTTGCTTTTCCTGTCCTACAATAGACTCAGACTGTAAGTAACTTATTATATTCTTTAAACCTTAAAACCTGTCCCATGCATAATATATGGTTATGTATAGTATAGTATAGTATAGTATAGTATAGTATAGTATAGTGGATGAAATGTCCCCATTGAAGTTAATGGGAAATACCCCTTGACTCCGGTAGAGCTAGGATTTCATCCTATATTTTAGTTTGTTTTGCCTGGTATTATTGCTGGATGGGTAGCTAGCAAAGGGTGAAAAAATGCCACCTAACTTTGAAAGGGTTTTACTTTTACTGTTGAGTAAATTATGACATGTAGTATCAAAGAGTTTTAAAACTTACTGACTTAATTTTTGCAATAGCAGCTAACTAAAACCCCGTAACCGTTGTTCAGTATGTAATAATTGTAGAGGTGAAATTTTATAATTTTAGTAATAAAATCAGATTTGATCAATTATTTTTTAACATTTTATTTGTGACCTCAATTATACTTAAATTGGACCTCTTCTGACCTGTAGAACAATATTTTTCAATGTTTTCTTTTTCCCCATCAATATATCTCACTTTGTTAAATATAGAAATATTTTTTCTTCTATCTTTGGATGGCTTAAGAATGCCACAGCAAGAAAATTCAGCAGCTATCAGCACTTAGTTAAGAAAAATAAAATGAAAGCAAAGTGACTTATCACAGACCTAGTTCTGCCTGTAACTATATGGCTCCTTATTTATGGTATTAAGTTCTTCTCTCTTTGATAGGCACTAGCAATAGGTAGAACCTGTTGCATCAATCTCTCCTTGAAACATTGGGTTTTTTTTTACACTTTCTACATCCGTATTCCTTCTATGTTTTATTTCTTTTGGATTTTAATGGGACTTCAGATTGGTCCTATGAAAAATTCTCTGCCCCCACAAGTAGTACTAACCAGTGATAAGCTATGGTATATCACTAAAATATTTCTTCTGTCTTAATTCTAATATATAACTTCACAAATGGTCTGCCATTGTAAAGTTATGGACTTCTATGGGGTTGGCAGTTAGAATGCTTATAGTGCTTCTGTTCACAGTGGATTGTTGTGGAGTTGCAGGACCTCTGTGGCCACTGATAGCAGAAATCTTTGATTATTCAAGGGAAAAACCATGCACTTATTTTTTATCCCTCTTTTCCCTGGTTTCATTCTCTAAAGACTGTTTCCTTGTTTAGGTGACATTAAATAACAGTTACACCTGGGCTAGAGATCTTCTAAGAATGAGGCCCAGACTTGGTTCGTTTTAATATTCATTCTAATTTATTGTGCGCTGGTGTAGCAGTTTATGGTGCTCCGAGTTTTGTCTTTGCTTGATTTTTAAGGGGTAGGAGGGAAATTGCAGCCAAGTGCTGTTGAGACTCCTTTCTGCACTCACTCTTTTTTTTTAAAAACCAGACCTCCTTTCTTTCTTTAACAAGGCGTATGCCACAAAAGATAACTGTCTGATGAAATATACTGTGCAATTTCTCTCTCTTCACTCCCCATCACTGTAAGCCCTCTTGAGGACTGTAAGGGTGTGTCTAGACTACAGAGTTTTGTCGACAAAAGTGGACTTTTGTCGACAAAACTATACTTGCGTCTACACTACCGCTGAGTTCTGTCGACATAACGTCGACAGAACTCAGCACTTTTGTCGATGCTGGTAAACCTCGTTTTACGAGGCATAACGCCTTCTGTCGACAGAGTTCTGTCGACAGAAGGTGTTATCGCATCTAGGGTTGTGTCTAGACTACAGGGTTTTGTCGACAAAGCAGCTTGCTTTGTCAACAGAACTGAATGTAGTCTAGACGCTCTTTGTCGACAGAAGCTTTGTCGACAGTATCTGTTGACAAAACTTCTGTCGACAAAAGCCTGTAGTCTAGACGTACCTTAAGAAAGATTTGTACTAATTATATACCATGAGGTTCTTTTACATGTTTAACACTGTAGTTTATAATTGTTTGGTAGCTAAGAATCCATTTTTTCTGTCTCCATAATGGTGAAGTAAATGCCAGATCTTTGCATGTAAAACTGAAGGAAATGTCATTTATTGTATTAAGATAGCAGTTTGGGATAACTTTCCAATACTCCCTCTTTTAATCAAGTAAGCATGAAACAAAAGAACCATCTCTTAAAAGGCCTCTTTCCCCCTTCCTACCCCTTCCTTTTGTGCTTCTCAATTCAATAAATAATTAGGAGCAATGGAGGGGTGCATCAGAGGTTCCTGCGGCAGCCTGCGGCTTCTGCATCTGCTTCGCTGCAGATTCCTCCATCCAGCAGGGAGAATGGGAAGCACCGGTATGCTCACAAAGGGACCTGGAACTCATGCCACCCTGCCTCACCTGAAGTGCAACGGAGCAGCAGCCTTTCTGTCTCAAACAAAGCTGTATGGGCTATTCTTAGGTACAATACACCACAAGTGGTTTTGATTTCTTTTTCTTTTTTCCTCAACAGGTTGTTTTATATCTCAGTATATTTTTAATGACAAGAATCCCTTTACTTTCTTTTAAGCCTTTTTATGCAAAAACTAATAATTTTTGAGTGAGAAAAAACACTGTGCAGGAGCAGGGGGTAATAAACGAGTTCATTTCTGCTGCTTTAAATGAAAGGACTGATGGCATTTTACAGCAGAGAAGAATAGGTAATTTTTAAAAAGACCAGGCGTCAAAGAAAGGGCTTTGTCTCCCCCACCATTTTATGTGTTTGGATGAAGTACTTCTTTGTGTTTCTTATCCTTCCCTTCCTCTTCCAGAGGAAGAAGGTGGAGTTGTAATGTTGATTTGAGAGGGGAGGCACACATCCTTTTACTTGTGTGGTGGTGAGCGTGGGTACAGAGATTGAGCAGAACTGTCATATAAAAAACCTAACAATGAACTGCCAAATTTTGTCCTACCTTGTGCCCAAGAATTTGTTTACAGGTTGAACCTCTCTAGTCCAGAGCTCTCTGGTCCGAACATATCCGTAGTCCAGCATGATGTTTGGTTAGTCAGATGTCCACTTTTCATGGGTGAGGCCAAGTTTCCCAGGGTCCCATATAGTTTGTTTACAGCCACCAGTTCTGGCTCTCATTTCTGTAATATAATTTGCCCCTAAATGTCCTCTAAGAGCCCAGTAAGCAGTGGAAGTGTGAGTAATGCTGCTAGACAATACTGACCTTTCGTGGCCTGGAAAATTCTCTGGTTCAGAACTGGCCAGGTCCTAAGGGTTTTGGACTAGAGAGGTTCAACCTGTGTATATAACCTTGGCAGAATTCTTTTTTATTTTTTTTTATAATTTCAAAAATACCATCGGTTTTATTTGTAGGCATTAAAAATTATCTACTTAATTTTGTCAAACTGAACATTTATTGGGGTGGAGCTCAGGCAATAATTTAGGTAATGACCAGGACATGCTGAGATTCACAAAGTTTCAGCATTATAACTGTTAAAATACACATTGTCAATGTCACATTTCCTCATGTACAAAAGATCCCTAATCAGAGGCTAATAACTTTTCAAGCAGCATTTTCTTTCTTAGCTGATCTGTAGATTTTGATTATTACTAACTGAAATTTTTTTTCATTGGTTTGTGGATGTGTATATATGTTGTGTGGTTCAATTTATTTTAGATCCCAAGAAAACCAGGACACTCCACGGAGACTTAGCCACTTTCTTATTTATTGCAAGTTTTAAGCATTTAACATAGTTGTTTAAATTTCACAAGCCTTAAAAACAATTACTATGCAATTTAAACCTTAAATACTATAAATTCTAAAGCAATTAATTCAGCACAAAGCAATGCAAAAGCAATTAATAGAAGATCTACTATAATAAAGCTTACCCATATGCTATCTACAGTACCAGGCAGGAGGTCATGGTTCCTGGTCACCAGTGTGAAGGGCCTATTTACTTCTTGTTACATCGAGCAGGAACTGCGGGTCAATCCTGCTCATTCCCTCCCATCGATTCTTCTTACTAAGCCCATTTTATAGTAAAGCGAGATTTGGTCGTTCTAATAATATTTACCAATTGAGTATGTTGGGTACCTAAAATGCCCAATGCCTCTATTTGGAATACATCCTGCTACTCAGGATGTTGCAAAAACTACGTGTGTAGGTAACAGTTTTATGGCTGCATCTGTAATTTTTGCTTATCAGAAACAGAAGTACCTGTACAAGGATGCTTGTCGTGTGTTCTTTGACGTGGTCTTGCTGTACCAGGCTTAATCTGCATTGTTATGCAAAGCATTCCTTCTTCTCAAAGCTTCTCCCTCAACCTTGCCTGCGTGCTTATGTGCACCAGACTTGAGACAGGCCTGGGTTTGGCTTGTTAGAGATCTGGACTGTAAGGCAGACATCACCGTCTATTGTCGAGGCAGGGACACCCAGCCTCCCCTAAAAACAGTAACACTGACCTTCACAGGCATTTAACAAAGAATCTAATCCTTCTAAGCCAATTTATGCATAGCGAAAGCAGAGGTGGTGGAATAATGGAACAATTTTATATCCAGCACTAAGTGAGGTGGTCAGTGTACTCCCAAGGATCACCTCAGCAAGATAAGCAGTTCCCTTTAAAGATGAACCGCACTCTGATATAAGCCAAGTCTGACAGCCTTTCAGTGGCAGTGACTAAGAGGGTAAAGCAAGGCACACCTCAACGTCCTCTCTTAAATACTTAAGTTTGTCATTTTCTAAATTGTTCCTGTCTCCAGTAGCATCTAAAAGCTTCTTTAATGGCTTTCCCTCCTTAGCAGGTTACTGATGCTGCCTGGTTGTAGTTATTTGCAGGTGTTATTACAGACTGCATCTCTGGTTTTAAGAAAAATGTAGAGGAGGTAACATAGTAATGTTTGTTTACAGGCACATGAAACTCTAAAGCTGAAAATGGGAATAATTAGAGAGCCAGTCAGTGCTTTACTTCCAAATGAATTTTTTCCTGAATACAGTTGTCTGAAGTGTGTCCCCCATCCCCGACTGAACACATTATGACTTCTGCAGTACCTTTTAACTGCAGTTTTCTAAGGCAAAATAGCTTTTTTAAAAGTGTGCTATAAAAAGAAGCTGCTTTTAGAAGCAGTATGTTGTGATTCTTTTTTAAATTGCAAAATAGTCAATGTGCCTTAAAATGGAAGGAGAGAACAATTTGCAATTTATTCTTTTAATTAGGGATGTTAAAATGCAGGTGACTTGGTAACTGTGTAACAGCTGAAAATTTTAGTTGTTATGCAGTTACATGTGAGGCGGCAGCCAGCTCCTCAGGAGCCAGCTTTTAAGCCAGCTCCTGGCACGTGCCAATGACTGTCGCACACTGCTACCTGTGATAGAGGCAACTGGGCAGCAGGTGGCTTCTCAGGAGCTGGACTGGGAGCCGTGTGTAACCATTAACCAGTAAGCTTGTGCTTATCAGTTACCTGTTTAAAGGGCTACACCCTTACATTCCTACTTTGAATCAAAGCACACAATTTTCAGAAGAGCCTCGGTGACCTTGCCACCTGAGTGCCATCCAAAATCAATGGGCATTAGGCTGTTTTTGAAATAGTAACCGAGGGCTTTATAAGGCTTTCTGATAGTACAGGTTGTACCTCCTTTGTCCTGCACCTTCGGGACTTGCGTGATCCCGAGCCAGGGAATTTGCTGGAGCAGGGAAGTCAATGCTGTATGGGCTCTGCTCTCTCCATAGTGCAGCAGAAGCGGGGAAGCTCAGCTCTCCCCAACCCCTGGCTTCACTGCAGCCTGGGGCTCCCCTGTCCCTGCAGTGGCCGGGAACTCCTCTGCAGTCCAGAGTTCCTCTGCCTGGCGTCTCTGCACTCCCCCCAGCACTCTTCTGCCACCTGGGGCTTTGTGCTGCACCAGGCAGCTTGCTGCTGCTCAGTGGGCTTCATCCAGCAGGCCTGCTGCTGCTCAGGGAGCTCCATGCTCCTCCTGGCAGTTCTGTGCTCTGCTCCCCAGCACTTCCGCTATGGAGCAGGGGGCTCTGCGTTTTCCCCGGTGACAGAGAGCTCTGCTCTGCCCGCCCCCCAGAGACCACGGGCTTTGCGTTCCTCCCAGTGACTCTGCTGCCCCCGGTGCTCCATCTCGGCTCCCTAATTTGGCAACGCTCTTGGCCCCAGCCCAACAGCTTATCCTGGTGAGTGCTCACATGGATGATGCTGGACCAGGGATGTTGCTGGACAAGGGAAGCCCGGATTAGGGCGTTTTAACATCAAGGGCCAGACAGACTCTTCTAGCAGATAGTCCTACATCAGATCATGTGCCGCCTCTGGTCCTCTCTGCAGCTTCTGTGCAAGCAATATTTCATAATTATGAAATGACCCCTGGCAACAGGACACTATTAGAAGCTTATGTCTGGCTGTCAGCAATATAGTGATCGTGTTAGCTGTACTCATTAATTGTATAGTCCACAATGATGTATTGTTATATTTTAATTACAAATTCCATGTCTTAATAGCAAAAAGAGACTCCCAGAGCATGTGATCATAAGAGGGGTGAGGGAAATATTATCAGGTCAGGTGACGAGACAGTCTTGGCCTTTGTGTCCTATAATATCCCTCATTGCCAGTTGTAATTGCCTGAAACACTCTGCTTGGATTATTAGTGTCTTACTGTTTGAAAATGATCTGTAAGTGTGTGTGTGTGGGGAGGGGGAGGGGAAAGTTCTGTGTATTTGTGGTGTAGTAGTGTGCAGAGGCCCCATTCTGAATTGGGAGTCCCTATGGATAGGTCCCTACCAATTTCATGGCTAAGAAAATGTCATGGACTGTGAAATCCGTCATCCTCCATGCAATCTGATCTCCCCTGCTGATTGGAGTACAGGGTTCCTAGCTGCTAATCTAGCCATTATAGGCAGAGAGAGGTGTTGTCCTTCCTCTGCATGGCTGCTCTTGGTGGGGAGATCAGACCCACCTCCAGAGGCAGCACAGAAATGAGAGTGATACCCAGTATTCCCTCTAATTTTTTTTCAATCCATGTGAAGAATAAATTTTGTGTACTGACACATGTGCGGATGTGCACCACCAGTAGAAATATGCTGCCAACTGGGAGCTCTGCTGATCCGCTGGGTGGCATTTGAATCTTTCCTGAATGGCCTCCCAGACACTCAGCTTACAGAGAACACTGGCCTGATAACGGTGTCAGCTGTCTGTTCACCTCTCTTCTCTTCCCCCCCACCTCCGGCTACTTCTGCCACAAGTGCCAATTTTGGGGCTTCCTCCTACAGCGGCTCCTGCTGGGCTGGCAGCTTTCACTCCCCCTGGCTGCAGCTGGAGCAGCCTGATCTCTGGACTTCGGTGTTGGTTCCAGGCACTGAGCTTGGGGGTTCTTTCCCTGGCAGCTCCTCTTGGGGATGGGGTTTGTGTTCCTGCTGGTTGCAGCTGGGGCAGCCTGGGATCAGGGCTTCTTCCTGCCTGCTGCTCAAGTCCAGCCTGGG